TAGGCTAGTAGGCATTAAATTATACATTTATTACTCTGTCTAGCCGTCGTTTAAAGTCAGAGTTAGAGTATATTTTAAGCATAATATTGCGTAGAAGTTATATAGAATCTAAGAGCCTTATTAGTCTAGAGCAGTGTAGCACTATCTCTTACAGTCCTTCTCTGCTATTATAACTCCTAGGCGCTAGGTACCTAAGAGAATAGTACGTAGAGATTATAAGTCTAGCTTTATTAGGCTAGTAGGCATTAAATTACACATTTATTACTCTATCTAGCTATTATTTAAAGTTAGAGTTAGAGTACCTTTTAAGCATAATATTGCGTAGAAGTTATATATAATCTAAGAGCCTTGCTAGTCTAGAGCGGTGCAGTACTATCTCTTATAGTCTTCCTCTACTATTATAACTCCTAGGCGCTAAGTACCTAAGAGAACAGTGCGTAGAGGTTATAAGTCTAGCTTTACTAGGCTAGTAAGCATTAAATTATATATTTATTGCTCTATCTAGCTATTATTTAAAGTTAGAGTTAGAGTACTTTTTAAGCATAATATTGCGTAGAAGTTGTATGTAATCTAAGAGCCTTGCTAGTTAGAAGCAGTACAGTACTGTCTCTTATAGTTCTCCCCTGCTATTATAACTCCTAGGCGCTAAATACCTAAGAGGACAGCGCGTAGAGAGCATTTCTTTAGCTTTGCTAGGCTAGTTAAGCAGGGTAGATTATAGGTATAGTAAGCACTAAACTATAGTAAAGCTCTTAGTAGCAACTCTAATAAAATAATATATTTTAGATTACTACTAAGCTCTAGCAAAATTCCTATCTGCCTTCGCTGAACGAGAATAGTAAAGAGGTAACTTAGATATATTCAAAACCTTTTCTAAAACTAGATAAGATATCTTATAGCACTAAATATATCTAGGTTTCTCTATAAACTTTTTAGTACGCTCTTAGAGACTATTAGCTGCTATCTAGAGTTAGAGTTAGAGTAACCTTAACTATAATATTACTTACGTTAACAGTAGAAGTTATCGTCTTTATTAGTCTAAGGCAGTGCAGTACTATCTCTTACTATCCTCCTCTACTACTAGCACAAGTCCTAGTCGCTAGGTATTAGAGAGAATATAGAGTTGCAGGTCTATCTACAAGTAGCCTAATAATTAGAGAGAAGAAAGAAGAGAGGAAAATAAGTAAGATTTATATGCCTACTAGCACTAGCATAGAGCTACTAAGAGGCAAGCGAAAAAAAAATTAACAGCAGAGTAAGTATCTCTTCGCGCTCCTTCTTGCTGCGAACATACTACTACCTAGAGAGCTAGATTGCTATAACTACTACGTTAAAGAAGCTAGCAAGCCTACTCTAAGAGCAGCTAATTAGAGCAGGACCTATACGCAGAGATAAGAATTATATAATATTAAATTGCACTATATTGCGCTCTCTATTTAACCTATAGCAGCAAAAGTAGTGCTTAGTATCTAGAAACCTAGTTGCTTAACTAGACCTAAGAGAGAGAGTAAGATAGATATATAGAATAGAAGAGAGTTATAGAGTCTTTAGCAGCGTAGAATAACAGTAGGCGACTATCTACAACTATTAGCTACTAGAGCTAGGCAGGAACTAGTAACACAGTAGAATAAACTTATTATATACAGCTATTAACCTATGCAAGAACATTGTAAATAATAACTCTAACGCTATTTACTTATTTATAAAATAATACCTCTTCTGCATAATACAGTTCTCCTCTGTTCTGCGCATAGATCGCTTCTATATAATATATAGCTTCTAGCCTAAAACCTACGCAGAGCTTACTAAATATACAGCTAGATGCTATTCCTAACATCTTACGCAATAGAGTCTAGAACTATCTAAGAATATTTACGAAATACTCTAGTTAAACGAAACGTACACGTTATTAAGCAATAAGTATAATACTGCTTAAGATAGGAAGATGCATATATATGCAGCAGATAGCTTAAGCTCTACTATAACAGTATATAATTATATTAAGAAGGATAAAAATGCAGACTTAGTAATAGCTAATAGCATTTTAGATGCACTAGATATATGCGCAAAGAATAACCTTATTAGATAAAAGAGCCTATTATTAACATCTACGCACGTTAGGAAAACTAAAAATCTGTCGAATATTTATTTCTATTAATACTGTAGAATTAACTGTGTCGCTAGCGAGTTGATTGATTTAAGGAATTTATGTTTGTTATTAAATATACTTTGAAATAAAACTTCGTCGAAATAGTTAGTACTGTCAGAATTATCAGAATCGTCGACGCGATAGTCTAGCACGCAACTTTACTATCTTTAACTATTATATTTTCTTTCTCTCTACCTACTCTGTCTTTCTACCTGCGCTATTGAAGTTTACTTCTTTAATATACTTTCCTTAGTATCTTACTATATATTTACTTCTTTCTGCATTGTAACTAGACATATACAGATATTACTAGAAAGAGCTTTGTTAGGATTGTTAGTAATATAAGAATTATTCTATTACTATGCTAGTCCTGCATTCTATACAGTTATCTACTGTTAAGCACTGTTAAGCACCGTTAAGCACCGTTGAGCACCGTTAAGCACCTTTCCTAGCAGTGCGCTGGACCTTAGCAGAGTGCTTCTAAACTTATGACAATTAGTTTAGTTTAATGCTAGTCTATGCGTTGATCTGTAACTGTTGATCCTCTACCTTATAGTTTATCTTAGGAAGTTGTTTTAACGTCCTGCTTGCTTAGTACTTTGAGTTCTAGTTTACTGTCTGGGTTAAAATAGACAATGCTGACACACATTTCTGCTAACTAGCTAAGTTAGTATACTCAGAACATGAATTGATTCTGTGTGTTCTGCCTGTCTTGCAGCTCTATAATGACGACGTGCGTAGCTTCTATTAGTATAATTGCCTCTGCAAATGCTATTAAAGCTACTATGATCTAAGGCCTATCTAGATCTCTCTATTTAGTAAGCTTAAGGTTGATTTTATGCTGTGTTATACCTCTCTGCATAACTAAGACGCTCTTGTTACTGAACTTCTCTCTTAAGCCTAGCTATATTACTGCCTGCACGATTGGTTTATACGACTCTATAAGGATTTTGGCGCGGACTTCCTTTAGCGGTGGTAGTGTATTAGCTGCTTTCGCTGCATCTTCTGCTGCAATGCTCTATGTCTAGCTTAGCGTTTCTAGAATTTTAACCTTAGAGCATAAATTTGATAGGTTTTGAAACTTTGGGCTGCTTTTAGTTATAGCACGCGCCTCTCGTACTAGGAAATAGTCCTTGCTTAGGTTAGTAAAGAGGTCCTTTACGCTATTTAACGTGAAGCGTTTGACTTTGCGGCTGCTGTATGTTTTGAACTATGCTGCCTTTAGAGTAGCAAGCGCAGGGTAGGATGCTATTGCCTGCATCTTAAAGCAGTTAAAGATTATACGTCTGCTAGCTTCTAATTCATTAAGGCCTTCTTTTTCTAGAATATCTCTGCATTGTTGCTTAGCGTTTTGTACTGTGCTGAGGAAATCTGGATATAGGCAGCTTTAGAAGTAAGGCAGGAAGTTGCTCTTAATGTCGGATATTAGTTTGCCCTATGGGTTACGCGTCTTCAATGTTCTTTTCAACATAAACCTCTGCGCTACTGCTGCTCCTTAAGATATAAGTTCTTTATACTTATAAGACGACTCGTGTTCGCTTGCGTCGTGCTTTACATTAGCAATTATATTGCGCTATTGTTTAGCTATTGCTAGGCTATTAAGGGCTGTGTTTTAGCAAGTTCTGTAAGATAGTGTCTCTGCAATCGACTAGTAGACTGTATCTTCTATCTTATAGATGCAATTGCTAGTTACGGAGTCTCTCTTGTTAGTAGCGTTAAACTAGTTAGAGACCTCTTTCCTGTTTTAAAGGCTAATGAGTGCTAGCGACACGAAGATTAAGATCTCATTTAGTCCTTGTTCTATAGGCGTTCCGGACAGGGCCTATGCTTTCTATTAATATCTGTAGTTGTGGCTTCGAATATCCTAGTAAAACTTAGCTATGATTGTGCCCTCTGACTTGCAATTATAGAATTTATTAAATATAGTCCGCCCCTATACAGTAACATGACTAGGAAGCAGTATTGCTCTCTTTTCTATATGAGAGCCGCCTTTGCGTATGATCGTTCGCTGTGCTGTGACGCTTATAGTGTTGTAAGCTCTAAACACATGCTTATCTACCTTTCTAAAGCTGCAGACTATTATAAACCGTGCTGCTGACGGTGCTAGACGGTGCTTCGTAGCCTTAGAGTGCACAGCAGGCGTGTTCGCTTCTGGTATTATCTAGTAGACTGTTTCTTGATAATCTACGCCTCCTAGCACGTAGCTCTGTAGAGCGACTAACTTATTAGCGGCAGTGAGCGCTTTAGAGATAGCGTTAGTAGTATTGATTTGCATCTCTATTACTTTCTCTTTCGTTAGTCTGCCTATGTTCTCTGGGGGAGAGTTACTAAAGAAGCAGAACCGTAGGGCTAGCGGATCGCTTAGGTTGCACTACGTAGAGTTTGCAAGATCTATTGCGACTATCTCGTTCTTCTAGGCATTAGCTGCTCGCCCCTAACTAGTTATTATTGTAGCTGCTTATTGAGGTTCGGCGTTGAAGGAGAGGCTCCTTTCGCACGCGCAGTAGAACGTTCTCTTGCCTTTAGTAGGATATAGCTTGTCGTTATTATTAACTGCGTTGTGTTCTGTCGCGTTGCCTTCTGCTTGCGTATTTTGCACTTCTGTCTAGTTCTTGAAGTGAACGTGTTCTATAAGGACAGCGAGCACTATCGCTCGCGTTTTGCCTATGCCTATGGCGTTGGCAAAGATCCTGCTATTGTTAGATGATAACTCTTTGAAGTAGAGGATGTATGCGTCTGTGAGCTAGTATAGGGTGAAGTTGCAACTAACCCTCTAACATGCCGGTAGCTTTATTGTGCGCTTGTTCTAGAGGTTATTAATTGAAACGCTAAAGAATACTGCGGCTGAAGTCTACTCTTCTAGAGTGCAGTGTTCTATTGCTGTCTCTACTCTTGCAGAGAGACTGTCTCTCGTTCTAGTTTATTTATTAGTAGGGTAAATAGTAGTTGACTGTCTTCTACGGTAGACTTACTTAGCGTTTAATAAGGCTTTAAGCCTTTCCTTTTGTTCTCTAGCAAGGTCCTTTGCTGTCGTTGCCTCCTCGTCCTCTGAGTTATCCTTAGGGTTAATGTCTGAGCTGCTGTCTGAGCGGTAGTCGTCGCTGTCTAGCGGGCTATCTAGCTGAGTCTCGCGCTTCTGAGCTTCTTTCTCCTCTTTCTCTTTTTTAGCCTTAGCTAGCTTCTCTTCGTCTCTAGTCTTCTTAAGCTGCGCTTTCTTTCCTAACTGCTTTCTTTTAGCTAATCGAGCGCGGGCTGCTGCTCTGTCTCTCCTGCGTGAGCGCGGGACGTCGCTGCTAGTATTAGAGTCCTCTAAATCTTTGTCTTTTTTAGTTCTTTCTCTGCTTGCTTTTGCATGTCTGCTGTCTGCTGCCTTAGTCTTACGGCGCTTAAGAGGAGGTCTGTCTAGTATAAGTTTGAAATGTTAGCCTCTCTTCTTAGGTAGTAAGGGCTGTTCTGGTGGTAAGAGCTGTTCTAGTAGTTCGTTAGGTTAGAATGTTACTGCATATAGATATTAGTGGTGTATATTTCAGTTTTGAGGGTTTATGCTATACCTTTATTAGAATCGCCTGGCAGTTTCATTGTCTGGTATAATAGCATTACTGCTCTAAGCCTCCTTGACTTAATATGAGAGTTAACAGTGCCTAGCAAGTCGTCGTCGTCCTTAATAAGCGTCATCGTTAACGCATCTATAACCTGAGAGATGCCTGCTTAGTACTAATCGGAGTACTTAGGCAATGATAAATGCTGGATGAGGGCATCGTACTTAAGGTGCTGGGCTCTAACCTTAAAGTAGTTCTTCTCTAATTTCTGCTAGCTTTCCTTCGTTATTAGCCTGAATATGGGGAATTGTTTAACGATAGAGTAATGCACAGCGTCTACTAAGGCAATATTAGCGTTATTTAAGATAGCCGGCTTAGTGAGTGATGCAACGCTGAACTTGTTAGTTATTAACGCTGTAGACCTGTTAGATATGACGGACGAAGACTGTTGCTGCGCCGTCTTAGATAGTGTTAGCGTTAGCGTGTTGCTTAGGTTCTCTGTCTTAACTTTAGCGCTGTACTGACGCACCTTGGCTAGCATTATCGTCTAGATAGTTCTGGCTGCAGCCTTGTAGAAGACTTTAGGTATTTGCGCATTTTGTAGCTGTGTATATTTGGCTACCGCAAGCTAGTCTTTTGACGTTGGTGAACGCAAGCTCTTTAGAAGCTGCGATTAGCTCTTTTCTGATTAGATCTTCTTGAGTAGGTCCTTTTTCTTGATATAGCTTGTAAGGTCCTCTATAAGTTTAACAACCTCTAAGGTTGTGATCCTATATCCTTCTCTTATATTCGTTTGTGACATGCTGTTGGAGCTTGTCGTATTAGCCTTGCTCTTATACTACTCTAGTTGCTTTAGCGGCGCCTATTCTATGTCGCTGTTATCGTCGCTGTTACGTCTAGCTATAATAGCTTTGCGCCTGGAGTAGAAGACGGTTAGCGACTGTGTGTAATCGTTAGACTATTGCTGAAAGTGCGTGTTAATATATAGATGTTGCTTAGGAGGGTGCGCTTACTGACTATAGAGAGTTTAAGCGCAGTTGCAGGTTGTTAATGTAGGAAGCGCGTTATTAACGTAAGAAGCGCGTTGTGGATTTAAGAAGCGCGTTGCTGTAACAGTAGCGATGTAGTAAAACGTGTTAGTAGACAAAATAATGATAAAAAGGAATTGCAGCGTGATGTGTAAAGAGCTTAGGCTTTAATGCGCGGGGCTTGCAGAAAATATAATGTTGTTATATAGCTGAAAAGGTTGTTAGTTGCGTTGCGTTTATATGCACTGGGCAAATATGCTAGATGCAGGTGGGATAATAAGTGAGAGTGAGTGTGAAGTTAAGCAATAATAATGTTTTAACTTAAGAGCTGCTCTGCATAGCGGGCATGCTTTAGTCTAGCAGAACTTAATTATGCTAAATAGGTTGCTTGCTGTAGTCTGGTAACTGTTAAGATTTTCTAAGACGGTGCAGTACTGTCTCTTACTGTCCTCTGCCTGCTACGGGCCCTGCGCGTAGGGCATTGAGAGGATGCTGCGTGGAGGGATATTAGTTTAGCTTTGTTGAGCTAGTATGTATCGAACTATAGAGTAATTAGTTTGTTCTGCAGTTGTTTGGAGTTAGGGTTAGAGCAGCTTTGAGCTTAATGTTATTTAGATGCGGTGTGGTAGTCGTTGTCTTTGTCAGTCTGAGGCGGTGCAGCACTGTCTCTTACTGTCTCTTACTGTTCTCTCTTTCTTACCGCTGTGAGTCCTGCGCGCAGGGCACTAGGAGGATGTTGCGTAGAGGGTATTAGTCTGACTTTGTTAGGCCGGTGTGCATTGAACTATAGAGTAATCGGTTTGTTCTGCAGTTGTCCGGAGTTAGGGTTAGAGCAGCTTTAAGCTTAATGTTATTTAGATGTAGTGTGGTAGTTGTTGTCTTCGTCGGTTTAGAGCAGTGCAGCACTGTCTCTTGCTGTCTCTATCTGCTACTGCGAGTTCTGGGCGCTGGGTATTAGAGAGTATGTCGCTTAGAGGTTATAAGTCTAGCTTTGTTAGGCTAGTGAGCATTGAATCATATATTTGTTACTCTGTCTAGCTGTCGTTTAAAGTCAGAGTCTAAGTACCTTTTAGAGCATAATGTTGCGTAGAAGTTGTGTAAGATCTAAGGGCCTTATTAGTCTGGAGCGGTGCAGCACTGTCCCTCGCCGTCTCTATCTGCTACTGCGAGTTCCGGGCGCTAGGTATTAGAGAGTATGTTGCTTAGGGATTATAAGTCTAGCTTCGTTAGGCTAGAGGGCATTGAATTATATATTTGTTACTCTGTCTAGCTGTCGTTTAAAGTTAGAGTTAGAGTATATTTTAAGCATAATGTTGCTTAGAAGTTGTGTAGGATCTAAGAGCCTCGTTAGTTAGGAGCGGTGCAGCACTGTCCTTTACAGTCCTCCTCTGCTATTATGACTCCCGGGCGCTAGATACCTAAGAGGACAGCGCGTGGAGGGCATAAGTCCGGCTTTGCTAGGCTAGTAGGCATTAAATTACATATTTGTTGCTCTGTCTAGCTGTCGTTTAAAGTTAGAGTCTAAGTACCTTTTGAGCATAATGTTGCGTAGAAGTTGTGTGTAATCTAAGGGCCTCGTTAGTTAGGAGCAGTGTAGTACTGTCTCTTATAGTCCTCCTCTGCTATTATAACTCCCGGGCGCTAGATACTTAAGAGGACGGTGCGTGGAGGTCATAAGTTCGGCTTTATTAGGCTAGTGGGCATCGAACTACAGATTTATCGCTTTGTCCTGCAACTGCTAGGAGCAGGCAATAAGGCGACTTTAAGCTTAGGCGTCACACTATGACTTAGACACTGCAGTCTTAATAGCGATGTTATGTATATTAGGTTAGTTTACGCAGTTAGAGGGGGGCTAGCAACTGTGCGTTGTGAAGGGGAGCTTAGTAGTATTGCGATAGTTCGATTAGAGCCGGAACCTACGCAGATGTTATCTTAGAGGAATACGTTGGCATTGTGAGGGACAAAGAATATTACATTGTGCTATTTTTATACTGTATAGCAGTAGAGGCAATGCGCGATGTTAAGAAAGCATCATTGCTTCGTTAGAAGGGAGAGATAGAGGTTTGCTATGGGAGACGTGCGCTGATAGAGCGTTAGTGTGGACTGCGTCTGTGCGTACGCCTCGCGAGCACTATCTTACCTAGAAACTACAATAACCTAGTATTTTCTGCAACTTAACTTAAGGCATTAGGCGTCGTAACTGCTACGTATTGTATTTAACTCCTAGGATAATATTAATAAACTTGTTAGAACTGTTGAGAGGATAGTCTTGCATGCGACTTAACTGTCTTTAACTGTTAACTCTTCTTTCTAGCTACTTACTTTGTCTACACATACTGCTGCGCTGTTTAAGTTTACTCTTACTTGCACGATGTGGCAACGAGCAGTACTATTGCTTAGCGTTTGACACTAAATATAAGAAGTCGTCTAGTACAACGTTAACGTGTTGTAAAGATATTTAGATTGTAATTAACTAAGCACGTGTTTTGAAGCGCCTCTAATATGCGATAACTACATCTGCATTTCTTGCAGCATAAATCTAGCGCTATTACTTAACCTGCAAGGGGCACGTAAAAGAGGTATATAATCTCTCTATTCTTTGCCTAATTCTCTTCTGCTCTATTTTCTGCGAGAGGTAAGGACTAAAGTCGTCTACGTCGTCTCTGCGTTTTCTACGCTATAGAAGCTTTCATTCCTGACCTTACATAGCTGATAGCCTGCGTGCAAGAATACTAATCAACCTATCTGCAGTTCTGTACGAGTAGGTAGCTGCTCGAACTAGCCTCTTTGCTGAGGTTAGCAATATATCGTCTACATCGTCTCTGCTTTTCCTACGCTATGGAAGCTTTTATTTCTGACCTTACATAACTGACAGCCTGCGTGCAAGAACACTAATTAACTTATCTGCGGTTCTGTATGAGCAGTCGGCTGCTCGACTTAGCCTCTCTGCTGAGGTCGGCAATATAGACCTTGATTTCGTGCCTAGTGTTGCTTTTATCTCTAACGTCTACATGGCTGACAGCCTGCGTGTAAGAACACTAATTAACCTATCTGCGGTTCTGTATGAGCAGGCAGCTGCTTAAACTAGCCTCTCTGCTGAGGTTGGTAATATGGACCTTAATTTCGTGCCTAGTGTTGCTTTCATCTCTGACGTCTATATAGCTGACAGCCTGCGTGCAAGAATACTAATTAACCTATCTGCGGTTCTGTATGAGCAGGCAGCTGCTTGAACCGGCCTCTCTGCTGAGGTTAGCAATATATCGTCTATATCGTCTCTGCTTTTCCTACGCTATAGAAGCTTTCATTCCTGACCTTATATGACTGACAGCCTGCGTGTAAGAACACTAATTAACCTATCTGCGGTACTGTATGAGCAGGCAGATGCTTGATCCGGCCTCCCTGCTGAGGTTAGTATTATAGACCTTAATTTTGTGCCTAGTGTTGCTTTCAATGCTATAGGAAACGTAGAGCTAATAGGCAATTTGCTAGGTGATGCGGACCGCGTTAATAATAACAATAACAATGTTGCACTTACTCTATAATTCAGCCTGACTGCTCTACTTAACCTGTAATTACTCGCATTAAAACGCCCTGCATTATCTAGTAGCGACCTTAACTGCGGGCGTACTAATCTTACTATTGCTAGCTAAATCTTACTCGTTGAGCAGTTGCATAACGTCTAGGAGCGCACAGCTTTACTAGCGAAGCGAATCAAGACTGACGAGAACTGCAAAAAGTCTACGCATTGCTAAGGATTTAACGGTAGCAGCAGTCTTGAGTTATAAAAGATAAGTAGTTAAGTACTCTTGCAGACAGGACTGTTAATCGACTTAATAATAAGTAAACACTCTACCTCTAATGCATAATAACTAGTCTGACGCGGATTTAGGCGATGATGATGATGTTTAGTTAGTCGGAGACAATATGGAGGAGCTTATATGTGTCGGCAAAGTTAAGCACACCTACGTTTAGGCTTATACCGTTCCTTATTCTGACCTAAAGAAGTACCTCGGCAACAGTGGTTAGCAAGGCCGAATTAAGGTCTTATTCTGTTGAGCTGGAAACAATCGTAATAATCTTAATATTATAGTCACTGATCTTACTAGCA